GGAAAGCTTAAAAGGGGTGCTTGTAGCAAGCAAAAGAAAGCATCTTTGGCTCTTAATGTATATATAATTTATAGATAATTTATAGAAATATTAAAAAAGATTCTCTTATATCGTAAACGAGTAAAAGTTTCATTTATATCAAATCATTCTTTAAAGTATCGATGAGTATCGATTCTTTAAGCATATCTAAATGTATATTAGAGCCAGAGTAACCAAATTTAGGTATATGTATTTGGGATAAGTCGTGAGAGCAGGGTATCTGCTGGTCGGGAGACTAGGTTTTTTTTTTTATTTAAGGCAAACTCGCACGTACTCAGCGCTGACGATGGCAGAATCCAAATCCGGAATCGTCTTAGCAGCTAGAAATCCATAGCTCGGGAACGGTCTTTTTGCGTCCCGCATTTGATTTAGGCACGTCAATTATAGCTATTACTCAATTTATTTATTTATTTGTGGGCCATTTATTTATTTATGGACAACTCCAATGCGATTGACCTTTCTCCATACCAATGGCGTGCTAAAAGGCAATGTGACGCTGGGGAATCGCATCCACATGAGCATAGAAAAAGGAAAAATGAAATCCGTTGTCAATGCTTGCATTATTGGAGGCTTATTGAACGACCATGAAGATAGATTAATGATGGGGTTAGGCATCCATCTGGAAATAGATTTCAGCATGTGCTTATGCATATGCTTGTTGCTGACCCTTTATGCGTACGCACACACGCACACACGCACACACAGACACACCCTCGTATTAATCTTCCGAATCCCTCACTGTAACCTACCCCAATCACAATTGGGGACTTGACTGGGTCTCGTCCTATGGGACCCTCTCAAGTTTATAAATAGCAACAAGTGCCCGCCGGTTCGCCCCAAAAATATTGTAATCGTCAAGTATTTAAACCAAATGAAATTATTTTGTTGACTCGACTGGTGAGTTTTGTTGAACCACAAATGGGTTTCTCTATTGTTAAATTTGCATAGAAAACAGGTCTTTTTTTCTGGCTTTAAGTTAGCTCTTATAAACCATTAATTAGCAAAGCTAGAGCTCATTTAAAATCGTTTTATAATATATGTTAATTGTGTCCTGTTGCCGCGATAAGCGCGCACGTTTCTTGCGATAAGCATTGAGTGTTTATCAACGACTATTGATATATATTTTGCAACACTTTAGTTTAATCACTGATGTAGCACGCCTTAAATACATTTCGATTAAGTTGATTTCCAATTGTGCATGTGCTTGACGCTTTGTAATATTTAAAGCCTGTCAACAAATGCATGTAGTATAAGGGCCAGCAAAATCTGGCATTTATTAAGCTTACGCAGTGCCTCCACAACACGGAAAACTCACTTTAAATTATTGTTAAGATTCTTTAAAGAGAATTTCATTCCAAAAATGTGTGAGAGTCCCACGGGGTACATATAGGTATGAGAAGCACAAGAGGGCAGGGATTACAATTGGGATGCGCTGCATCATTATGATCTTAATTATCAGCATCATCATAAGGGTGTGTACAGCTCGTATTGTCGCCATCTGCAGTGCCAGCATCTGACTACTTTTCTGTACTTAGGAAGTTTTTAGCCACACAATCCAAAATGTTGCATATAAAAAGTCAACTATTAAAAGTTCATGACTAGGAAATACCACGGACTTGTCTATATTGTGTGTGGGCCACGGAACTAACGTTGCAAAACAATAGATAGCAAAATCGATAGCATCGATGATGCGCATGCGACTGTTTCTATCGATAGTTTTTAAATGACAATGTCGACATAGGCATATCCGTCGTGTTTGTTTCAATTTCTGTCAGCTAGTGTGAACGTGCAGAGCTAAAGTGCAATCAGGGCTATTTCTGGCTTGCTACTCTCCACTTCAAGTATAAGAGTTCCGGGAATATATCGATGATTAGGTACCTATCGATATTGTTGCGGTGCCAGTATGCGTAGGTTTGCATACTCTTGCTCTAGCATACCCTTTGCAATGCCGCTAGAGAGCAAATGGCTCTGTGGCTAGAGTTGCAACGCATCGAAAAGGATGTTGCAACCGAAAAAAACTGCACGTCATTGCCATTGCCGCAAATCGTTTGAGTTTAGCAAGCATTTCTCATAATTTTTACATTCTACATCCGTTCGTAATTTGTAGCGTAATTTGTAGGCAAACAACTTGCATGTAGACTTTGGGGCCAAGAGCCGCCAGCTGTGCACACATCCAGTATGCACAGTATGTATACATACATATGTATGTATGTATATAGACAGAGCCCGCACCTTGAATTCCCGCTGGTCTAAGGCTGCTGCTCAGCTTCATTTGTGCAATTAGAATTCAAACTGTATAAGAACCAACTGCGCTTTTTCTGCCTTCAAAGCCAGCCCCTGCCCGTGCTTGCAGTTAAAGCAATGGCTTGTGCATAAAAGCCGAAGACGCCTGGGGCCACATCCATTCATTCATTCAGTCATTCAGTCATTCATTCATTCATTCATTCAGTCATTCACACTCGTTGTGTCGCCAGTGCCGGTTTCAGTTTCAGGCTGTGCTCATTCATTAGATGGCCATAGAGGCCGACTCGTAAATAAACCGAATCCCGCATCGGATTAGTAGCAGAAATGAATAGCTGCAGCTACAGCTACAGCAGCAGCTCCAGCTCCAGCTCCAGCTGCAGCTGCAGCTGCAGCGACAGCTATAACTAGAGCTGCCAGTTTCGGCTGCAGCTTCAGGTTTGCTGCTGCTGCTCCTTGTGCATTTTACGGGCAACCCCATTCCCTGGAGGATGCTTGGCATAAAAAATATGACAAAGGTAGGCGTAGTGCAAAGGCGGCTCCATCTTACGCCCACTCTGCTGCCGGTTACCGCTGTGAATGCTTTTATGAATGCTCACCGATTTGCTGCTGACAATCTATCCGCTGGCGGTGTCTTTCAGACAGTGCTTGCAACCAAACCAGGTCCCAACTAGCATCGTCCAATTTGGTTTCGCAGAGATGCCATTTAAATGGGCACCACACAATACAGAAGCGTAGTTCCGGCAACAGCTCAAAGTGTGTGTGTGAGTGTGGGAAATGGGTTTTTGTCTGGCGTCTCATAATGTCATGTTTAGGCCATCATCAAATGATGGCCCATTCATTGAAGGCTGCGGCCCATTAATTTAAACTTGCCGCTGATTATGGCCCAAAATTGGAATGCGTTTGCAACAGCCAGACAGCCAGCTGCAAGCTCTTTATTGTTGTCACACCACCAGGCTAATCATATGCATTTAGGGCCAAGTCTGGCATTCAGTATCCCTAACTAGTGCACCACTCTGACTCTGGCGAGTCAGTTATGCACTTTTAGGGAAACTATGTAAATGCGAATCCGCAATTTGAAGGGAACTGCTTGTGCTTGTATAGGGGACTGCGCATATAATTAGCTTATGATTGGTTGAGATCGGCTAGTTGCAATATACATAGTTCAATTAATTTGCTTCCAATTTAAATGAATTACACAAATATTTGAACTATTTATTAATGATTTATCTTCAGTCGTACACCCCCCTCTTCAGCACTCTTAGATGATTGAAAAAAAAAAAAATAACAGTTAAGAATCAAGAAATTAAATATTTAAGGAATTGCTGCTGAATTTAATTCAGGAACGTACGCCATGCAGTCTCATGAAGTCATGTGTTATAGCTGATGTTTCTCATACAAGTCTTGGCCCTTAATTTCCCTACTTGCTGGTCCACTTTTCCAGAACCCCGCCGTAGTGCTAATTTTCGACCCAAAAGGAAGTTTAATCAACAACTTCAGCTTCCTAGCTCTTCCGGCTCGGGCTGTGCATTGATCAGGATTCTTAAATTTCTGCAATGCAGACAACTTCAAAAGGTTGCGGGAAGAAAAACTAATTCAAATTTAAAATATTGACCTATATAAGCAATCATATGGCTTCAAGGACTACAAGTATATTTTCCATATATATATGTATATATATATATCGGATATGCAGGTTAAGCACGCGGGCGAACTTTTAAATTTTCGACTCGGTATTTGGTTCAATTCAATAACCAAACGCTGCCAACAAGGAACACAATTCTACTCAACTTTTTTCATATTTAAAAAAATTCAGGTTGATTGTCCTTTTCTAAATCTATGTTGCAGATATGGAGATTGATGACCAGCGTTGCCACCTAGTCAAATTTGCATGTACTTTCCTTACACAACACGTTCAAGGATTTCGATAACAGCCTATGTTGGAAAATTCCACATATGTATCTATTTAAAGCGATTTGCCTACCAGAGAATATAAAAGATTATAATAGAAAATCTTACCATTAGTTATGGCCTATCAGAAATTTGCAGGCCATGAAAATTAACGTTAGAGCTGACAATTTTCTGTGAGGAAGGGCTTTGCCTGCCCTTTTCGACTGGCAAAAGCAATTTGTGGACTTTGATTAATTGAATTGAAAAATTGCAATAAAAATACAAAATACAAAATTGAATGTGAAACGGCAAAATGTAGGCGTGTTTTTATGGAAATATATTTGAAATAATTTTTATTGTATATTGTTTGCTTAAATTGAATTTGAAGCCTGTTGAAGCCAATGTTGATGCGGGCGTAATGTGAGCAATTGATGATGTGTATCGGTGACTGGGTTTTTGGTGACTCGGTCTCATGGTCCTGTGGCCTATATATATTCACTTTTTCGATCTATCGGTCTGTTGTCGTCTTGGTGGCAAATTGTGTTACGGAACAGCCAACAGCCAACAGCCAAAAATGATTTTCGACAGGGCCAACTCAGCTGTACTCAATTTCGAGCTCTTCGGGGGCAGTATTCAATGATGTCTCTCGCTGCGGCAATTGCTTCAATTTGATTTGGAGCAACTGAAGCCTGGCAGTTGAGCAGAGCAAAGCGAAAAGCCCCATGGCTCTTGCCAGTGGAGCAGATCCAACCACACGTGCAGCTATTTGATGTCACTTTACCGACCACGCTTGCGACAAAGTTCCCATGCCCAAGCCCAAACTTATCCGCGTTCACATTCACGCCCTCGTATTCAGCTAGCTTTCAGTTTACGTTGATGTTACTGGCTGCCACCTCATCGTCATCATCATCAACAACAACATCATCATCATCATCAGCTGGTGCTGTGCCAACTTTAGCTGCAAAAATGTCGTCAACTGTGGCCACAGTTGATGGCTTGGTTTGGTTCTGGTGCTGGGTCTGGGACTGGGTCTGGTTCTGCAATTGTAACATTTTTTTTTTTGTATTTCGCAGTCAGAGGGAACGACAGTGGCTGTGGCAGAGCCATCCATGGCCACTTACATTTGCTTCCAGGCGGACATCAGCTTCAGTTTGACCTTTGGCTGTGCTCCCGCTTCTGGTGCTCGTGCGGGAAGTGTTGATGCCCACGGCCAGGGCATCTGGATGCTGGGCCAACTCTTCGTCGTTACGCTCTGGCACGCTTATTGAATTTCGCTTAGCTGTTGGCGTTGACTTCATGGCTGCCACATCATGTGGCACATCGAGGGTGCGGGGCAGCAGCGGCTGCTCGCCGGATAATGTGTCTGCGTTTTGGGCATAAAATTTTACGCTCGGTTGCACACTGAAGCCCTCAATTGGAGGCTCCAATCCCAGCTAGAGATTGGTACGCCAAACACTACTTACGCGTGTCCACATGGTAGCCCTGGTGATCGGCCCTGTAGAATACGGTCGAATACTGGCCATTGGGCAATGGCACCGAATAGTAACCACGACGCGCCAGCACAAAGCTCTTGCCCACGGGCAGCCAGTAGCTGCGCTCATAGCGCGTATCTCCATTGCTCAGCTGGTATCTGCAGAGTGGCACGAGGGAGGAAGCGAAGCATGGTAATTAAAGAGAAACCAAAGAGCCCAAACTGCAACAGCTGGTTAATTGCCATCACCTGTACTCGTGTTGTCCATCGGGCGAGCGTTGATCGAAGCTATCAATAAGTCGGGTGTTGACCTTGTTGGCTGTGAGCGTGGGCAGCAGCTGCAGGCCAGGCGGTTTTGGTTGTGATTGTGGCGCCTGTGGTGCCACTAATGGTGGCCAGTGATGCACATGTTGATGCCGGTCACTTTGCGCCGGCATGGCAGTGGTACTTGTTGTGGTGGTGCTGGTGGTGCGCCTGGGGCGCAGTGTCCAGCGCGCTTGAACGGCGCACAAGCTGACTGCGAGCAGCAAGAGCAATTGCAGCTGCAGGCCAGATTTTGATATGGGGGCACGCAACATACTCGATTCGAACTTGATGCCTGGCTTGGGGTTCAATAATTGATTCCTTGGCCAGACGGCTGGCAGCCTTTTATATGATTCGGCAGAGCGAAGCCTTTTGCCACTGAAGATGAAAAATATGCTGCGAAAGTCAACGGAGTCAAAGAAGTCAAAGAAAGCACACAAAATAAAAAAATAAACCCACACGTCAGTGCCAATGATTTGGCATTCTTCAGCCCCAAAAACCTCAATCCCAAACAAATCCCCATCACCCACTGTCCCATACGCAACTGTGCCCCGAACAGCAGCACCCTGCGCATCCTGCAGCCTGTTCGGGATTTGGAGCTCTGCACTAAGCGTTTTGACGGCTTTGTGATTTTGACAGCATTTATGATTTTTTTCTTCTTTATTTGTTTGTGTCTGGAGTCGAGCTCTTTGCTGGGTATTTTGATTTCGATTTTGAGTTGGACCTGAATCTTGTTGGCCTGTGTATTTGTTTTGTTGTGTCGCCCGCGGCTGTTGTGTATGTCGGCTACAGAAGCACAGAAGCAAGCATTGCCACAGTTATGGCCCAACTCGGAGCCACGGTTCATTGACCAGATCAGCGGGCCACGTCATCCTACCTTCCAACGGCCCAACTGTTCCCATCGACAGCTGCCGCTCTCCATGCTAAAAGTGCGTCGCCGAATTTCGTGGGCATTGAAATTTGGAAAATGTGCGCGTCCATTTGTTCCTTTTGCGTGTCTTCTTCTTTTTTTTCCATCCGATTTTCAGTGGTTCCTTCCCTCCCGATATTGTCGAACACTTGTGTGTGTCCTTGACAATGGCGACAATGGTTGCCCAGCTGCTGGCTGCTGGCTGATGGCTGATGTCTGATGGCTGGTGGATGATAAATGCCTGACAGTCAGAGCACTCCGCAGAGTCATCAACGATGTGCATTATATTTAATCGATGACTGGAACAAAAAGGCGTCTGCCAGCAATTGAAATTTGGCCCATTTCCACTGTCTGTCAGCGGGCAGCAATAATAACAGTAATAATAATAAATAATAATATTTATGGTTGTCTTTCTATACCCTGCTCTGACTGGTTCTAAGGGTTATTACAATTTTGTGCAAATCTATGCAACAGGCAAAACGAAACATCTTGATCAGGACGATGCGTCGAGTTGTTATAGTCATGTTCATCCGTCTGTCTGTATGATCGGTTTGAGCTTGGCCAAAATCTTAAACTTTGATATACAGTAGAAACCTCGCTGATGGATAGTTCTTCTCTCTTGGGTCTCATCGTGACCTATTCCATCTCTTTTAAGTGGGCACTCCTATGGAGCGGAGTCCGCCAAAGAAAGTTTTTATTGTATATATTACAGTATTTTTTTTTAATAAATCTATTCTCATACTATCGATTAATATAGATTTGGTGCTACGCAGATTCTGAATATTTCACTTTTTTGGGCACCTTTCCACTCTTCAGAAAAGAAAATCAAGCATATCTTTAAGTTTTTGATATAAACACACATTTGGTTAACATTTTTAAAATCGTTTTTGTGGATGTTGGCAACAGAGGACTATTTGTAATATTTTATGAATAAACAATAATTTATTTTAATATATATCTTTAAATATATTTTCATATACATATATTTTATTTTTCAGCACAGCGCTGAGAACAAGGCATCCCTTTGTCGTACACTGCCGTCTAGTGCACTTACATGTTATTTTTTTACCACACAATTTAATGAAATCTACTCGACTTGCTATATGACACGCTTGAATCAGTTTGCAGGCAATGTTCACTTCACTTACATACTTCACATCCATAATATATATATCAATCTATCAAAACATATCCATGTCTGTATAATCGACTTAATCATTTATTCTGCTCTCGCAGTGCACAATGTTAATCGACCGCAAATTTTATTAAACATTTCATTTAATGTTTTTGCGTACATAATAATTAATAACTCAAATAATTGATTCATAAATCGGTTTTTGGATGCAATGAGTTTTTACAGCCTGTGTACATTTCTATCTGTGCACATTTTATATATTATAATACCCTATTCCCAGGGGCAAAAGGGGTGTGTATGCATGCAGTACAATGAATAGATTTTGAAAATATTACGAAAGGAATATAACTTTTGGTTGAGAAACTGCTGCTATTAAATTGAGAAGCAAATAATTTTTAAAAAAGGTAAAATAAATTAAATACTAAAATGAAAAAATTAAAATGGTATTTATCTAAAAGAAGGCCAAGAATTAAAGCCAGACCAAAAAGAAGCTAAGAACGAAAGATGAACTCAAATATGAGCTGAAGAATTTACTGTGGATAACAAATGCCAAACTTTTTGGTAAAAAATGTGGGTTAAATGGATTGAAGATGGTTTCAGAGAAGAGTCAAAAGGTAAAGCTCAGTGGATGTGTTTGTATGAGAAAATGTATAACTAACTATGGATAGCTTAAACAGGGTATCGCATAGTCAGTAGCTTTCGACTGCTATTCTTCAAAGTTTTCAGCTAATCTCGAATTTGCGCAATTTCAATTTTCAAAGAAATACTTAATCATAAGATGAAATTTATAACCATACAAAAAAATCAAATAATTTTACTTTTTTAAGTTGGTGTCACAGTGCGTAATTTATTAAATCGATTGATTGATTGATTGATTGATTGATGGATGAGCTAATACTTAATTAATGAACTCCTTTTGAGATATAAGGTGCATGAATCTGTAATTGTTTAGCGATTGCTACGTGAAGTGTTTTTCCATAGAAAATAAATTGCTTGTCCTTAATGGATTTTTCCTCATAAATAATTAATGACAACAATTAGTGCATAAGAACTTTTGATATATTGACTGCAGCTAAAAGCGTGTTCCTTGAACATTTCAGCTGAGAATTTCACCTGATTAAAGCGCAAGGCAGGCACTCCTTGCTCTCTCCCTCTCCCTCTCTCTCCCCCTAGCCTTGGCCCTGGCTCTGACTCTGGCTCTGACTCTGACTCTGTTTTAGTATTTTGTTTTGCGTAGGTGTCAAGTGTTACAGTTCTCTTGGCAACCGGTTGTAATCTGGTCATTAAGCGAGTGCAATTAGCAGGTAACCCAGCCAGTCAGACATACACTTAGGAGGATTAAGTTCCGCACGTCAAGCTGAAAGCGCTATTAATAAATTTAAACGTTTTATTCGGCTGAATTTTGACAGATCGTAGCTGGCAGTTGCTCTCTGTCCCGGTGCTCAGACACCGTTAGGTCGCCAAGATGGGGGGCCTTTTAATGCGCCACTGAGCACACACTTGGTCAGAAGAGGATGGGGCAACAACAATTCCCAAGTGGAATTCGCGCGGCTGTAAATGCAGCGCCATAAAAAATGAATTCAAATGGCGCTGCGGCCGCTGACTGCAGCTGCAAATCCGCTGTCGACATGAGAGCGCACACAAATACACACACACTGGCACACACGCACACACATACTTACACTTACACGCAAAACAACAAACTAATAAATATTTTTACCCATATAAGCATAAAATATTGTTTCAAGTTTTGTGTGCGGCCGTGGCCAGAACAGATCCGTAGCCAGGACAGCTGCCTAGCTGCCTAGCACCCGGGACACCCAATATAGCTTCCTCTCTCCCCTTTCCTCTCTCACGCTCTTGTTTTTTCCCGGGTCGCTCCAGTGGGGACAATGGCAAACCGAAATGGCAACTCAGCTTGTTTGTGCGCTGGCATTTTACACAATATTTCATTTGCCAGCATTTCCGTGCAGCGTTTCCAACTGCCAAGTAGCAGAGGCCCCTGTTTCAAACCCAAACCTAAAACTCAACCCCAATCCCAGACGTGGCAGTCGATGGCCCGGCCCCAGTGTGGTATGTGCAAGTGTCTGAGCCATGAATTTATATTGGTCGATTTCGATTTGAAAGTATTTCGGTTACATAATCTCAGCATTTTTATCACATTCCAGCCATGTCGACGCACTGTTTGATGATGGCCCAGTTTCACAACAAAGTCAAAAGTTCCCAGTCGAGTGTCGGATCGGGTCAGCAGCCCGGACTAACCAACTAAAGAGTCGCATCTGATGCTGCTACTGCTGCGACTGCCTCCTTCTCCTCCATATCCTGTGGCATGTTTTGGTGTAAATTGCTCAATTATAGGCCAAAACGCGTTTGTATGTGCATCACTTGCTATTACTCTGCACGTCTCTGTCTGTCTGCCCGTTTGTCTGTCTGTCTGTTTGCGTGAAAGTTTGTTGCAAGTTTCTGGCTTCAACTTGATTACTGCATGATTTTCACAGCTTAGTTGGCGGCATCTTGAGTTATTTAGCTGTTTGCGCAAAAATTTGTGCATCAGTCAAACACTTTTTAGCCAAAACTTGCCGCCATCAACAACACAACAACACAACAACAACAAGGACGACGACGAGAACATTTGATATACATTCTGATATATATGTTTCGCATGTTTAGTTTTACTTCTTACGCGATGTGGACTGCAGGATGACACGGACATGGACATAGACGTGGACACGTCAGTTGACAATCGCCTCAAGGCCAAGACAGCAGCCAAGAGTATGGCGGCGAGAGACTGAGAGAGGGGGTTGCTTGGCCAAGGAGCCGCTAGCTTTGAACACCAATACGGCGCATCGCTTAGCTGCTTTGTACCTTTCAGTATGCAGCAACTATTTGCCACCAATATATATGTGCAGTCTGTATCCATCGAAATGGATTAAAACGAGGGTATTATCAAGTTGTGCAGAACACATTATCGGCTACCTCCAGATGCAGGTGGAAATCTGGTATTGTCCGTTAACTATTTGTACCTCAATCATTTTTTGCCTGCTCTCTTCCTGCGTTTTACAATGTCCTGCAAATTTTTGTATGTCCTTCCTCTAGGATTTCAGGCTTTTTTCATACTACGGCAATTCAGCGTCACTTGACTTAAGCTCAGGCCTGCGTGTTATTCTCGGCTGCAGTACTCAAACAAATAAGTTTTACTCAGCTAGAATTGAATTATAACTTCTTTATCGATGCTAGCTATGAAATGACCCAAGAGCTCAGCCTTAAGGAGGAGAGATTTAAGTTCTTAAATTTGATTATGCCAGAAGTAGACATGGAGGAGTTAGACTTAGATTATAGATTCCAGCGCAAAATAAAATAAAACAGCATCCAGCTGACGGTCAAGAAATAAAGTTGATAGACATAATTATCTTAAGATAAAAATCGAATTAAATTTGATTTAGAAGTAGACTTAGAGTTAGACTTAGATTATAGATTAGTCTAACTTTAAGTCCAATTCTATTTAATTTGATTATTATATTTTTAATTTGTATTTTTTATGTTCTCACTTCTTCGAATACTCTCCGAATTTCGGTTTTTAAATATTTGTGTTCCTTTAAAATATCAAGCTGTTTGTTTATATTACTTATAAAGTTGCAAGCCTATAAACTATTATTATTATTATAGGTGTTGCTATTATTATTATTATTATTATTATTATTATTATTATTATTATTATTATTATTATTATTATTATTATTATTATTATTATTATTATTATTATTATTATTATTATTATTATTATTATTATTATTATTATTATTCGTATTAGTATTAGTATTAGTATTATTATTATTATTACTTAGCTGTAATTTGTAGACTTACGATACGTTTTGAGATTCCACCCATCCCTGGTCCAAGATGTTACTTCCTTGTGCTCGGCGTTCTGTTTCTAGCCACGTTTTCAGTTAAATTCGAATGGCATTTTAGAACACTGTTTACTCGTTTTTATTGTCTTTTTGGTGACTGTATAACGTTGTTTAATTTTATTTTGGTTTTTTTTTAGTTTATTTTTGGGTTGCCTTTTTTGTTTTTGGTTTTTTGTTTTGTTTTGTTTTGTTTTGGGAGACCGAGATTTCTATCTCTTCGTGTGGGTGCGTCGCTGTTGCTTTGTTTGGGTCTGTGTGGGGCTGGTAGCTGTTCGGCGGCTTTGTGGCCGGCGTCTGGCGTCTGGCGTCGTGTGTATACGTATTCCCACAGTTTTCAATTTTTGGCGATTTGTTGCGGCACTTAACGGTTTGTTAGCTGTCATTGTTGCTGGTTGCGTTGATGAGGCGCCTTTTGTGCGGCGGCTCCCGCAACAGAATCGGCTGTCGACTACAACTTTGGCTCCAAATTCTAAGCAATTGTCTTTTGCCGCTTGCTGCAGCGTTAAGGGGATGGGTGGACGGTGGGTGTGGGGTGTAGGTATGGGTGGTTCTTGTCACATCCGCTATTCTATTGTCAATATATGTATTTTGTTGTTCTTGTTGTTTCTGCTGTGGCTGTCTTGTTATTGTTGTTGCTTAAATACAAATTTGCCTAAATCAACAAACGAGCGCCAAGTTTTGTGGCAAATATCGCCGCAAGTTTTGTTTATTCCACAAGTAACATCATCCCAGTGTCGTCTATTTGCATATTCGGCGCGTGGGTCTGTCACACAGATAAACAGCGAGCCACACACAGAACAAACCCTAAATTGAAAACTGGTTCACTTGGCTCACGTTTTTTATTTGGAGGATCTATTTACAAGATGGACTCAAAGGGCATCAGGCAGCTGTGCACGCTAGCACATTCTCATTTCATTAAAGATAGGGTATATATATGATATAGGATATTTAAAGCGAGAGAACGAGATAACGAGAGAGCGAGAGAATGAGGGAGATATCATTTGATACTTCAGAGAAGAATCGCGTCTAATTTGTATACCGTCTTTTCGATATCCAAATGCATGATATATTTATGGATATTATTTTAAGAATTTGAGAAAGATTCTTATAATTATAATAAAATGTATTATTACTATCAACAAAATCGTAGTTATGCCTGCACGTTTCGCATGGCAACCGAAGGAAATATTCTAATTACTTACTTACTTAATAATAATTCATTATTATTTCATACATGAAGTCTTGCCCAATAATTAAAACTTCAAGTTTCATTTTATTAAATTTTATTACGTGCACAAAAAAAAATCGAGTTTGGAAGCTCGGCAGACATAGATTGACATCTTGTGTTATCGTTATTGGTGTTATCGATTAAATTTCAAGCAGCGTACATTAGGCAACTCATCACGACGCACACGAGGCGACTGTCTCAAATACTCCACTGAAAGAAAGGAGTTGGATTTTGTGTGTGGATAATTATATAGACATACATATGCATATATATACAACTATATATATATACCTGCCAGCGGATGATAGCCATGTGCATCGGCGCGATAGCAGCGCAGCTCATATTGAACAGTATGACCGTAATTACGAGGCTGGACATAGAAGCCTTCGACCACCAGACCATGCTGCTGTTGCTCCGAATAGAAGCCACGCTCCCAGCGGCGTACGCCGTTTGGCAGCGCGTAGCTGTGCGGTTGAGTGGGTTAGCGAGTGGGTTGCATAGGCTGCTGGCGGTGACTCACCCAAATACGTAGCTGCCGTCCTCGTTGCGGTCGTTAAAATTGTCACGATACGGATTGTATTCCTGCTGTGGCTCCTGTGCCTCGTCAGTGTCCGTTTCCGTATCCGTGTTCGTTTCGGTGTCTGTGTCGGTGTCCGATTCGTTTTCTGTCTCATCGCTGTCCTCCTCGCTGGACTCTTCCTCGTCAGCAGAGACGGCAAAGCGCTGTGCAGCCTCTGCGCCCGATCTGGGCGCAACAATGGCCGGCTGGCGGCGGCTTAGGACGGCCAATGGCGTCGCTGTCAACGGTGCCACAGCGCCGGTCAGCTGTTGCCCTAGCACTTGCCTTAGCTGTTCCCGCGTCCGCTGCGTGCTGTCGCCATCGTCGTCGTCCGCGTCGTCAGCAGCAGCAGCAGCAGCAGCGCCGTCCAAGATCTCGAAGCTCTCTGCGAAGGGCAGGCTGGGCGCCAGCAGCTGCTCTGTGGGCACTGGCAATCTCTGGCAAAAAGTGGCCGCAATGCAGCTAAAGCTGATGAACAGCAGCAGTGGCTGCTTTCTGGTCTGCCCGGACATGATGCTGGGCTGATCGGGAAGGTAGGATGTTGGGGGTGAGGGAGTGTGTGTCTAATCCAGCGCTGTGATCAGTATTAAATGCGCTGTTCAGCATCAATTGCAACATATTTATATGAAGCTATCACAGAACCGCGTAGACTCTCGCCGGCTGCAACAAATCAGCGTAACAAATGCATAAATTTCTAAGCCCCATCTGCCAAAGTGACAGGTGATGTGGCATTAATTTGCATTCGCATTGAGCTGGCAAAGAAAAATAATTACAGACGGCGGACATCGGACAGTAAAGCATCGATGACGTGCATTATACGGTCGAAATATCGCATTTGCCAACTCGAAACGTTGAGAAATTCTTCGACTGGTTTTTGTTCTGATCTGGATACTCGGACTGCGATCGGGATTTGTTTATGGGCACGTTCATAAACATTCCCATGCGATGAGCTTTTTGGTTAATTGGGTCAGGTAATCGGCGACCGGTTCTTCAGCTCTGCTCTGCTCTGCTCAGCTCAGGTGTGCCGCAAAGTGTCCCCAAATACAGGGTCTACTTTCAGGGGTAGCCACAGGCGTTGCTGCAAATCTATAGCATAGTTTTGGTCATGCTGCTGTTTCGGTTTCCGTTCGTAATCTGTTTCGTCGACCAATTTAACAATTTTATTTGCATTTTGTAAATTACTATACGTTAATTAGTATACTTTAGATTGATGTCCCGAGCACTCTCGACTTTGTCACGCTTAATTTCTTAATTTCAAATAATGTTTTTTTATATAATTTTATGAACTCAGCTTCTTGGCGCGGAGTACAGGGTATAAATTAGTCGGGCACTTTCGTCTAAAACACACTTGTTTTCATTTATATTTATTTGTTTATCTGAACTTTTATCAATCAAGCAAAGAAATAATCAAGTCAGACTAGAGCCGAAACTGGACACATTTCGAGAAGGTGTCTCTTAGAGATCAGAATTGATCTAAAATATTTTTTGGGCCAGCAAACGCTCCATTTATTACTGTCCAGCTATCATTGCCCAATTCTCTATTCGCATATCATTTGGCGGAAAAAAGGTTGACCCTTCAAAATTGTGCATTAAAAATGCTTTGGTTTCCGACGCACAAGCAGCACAGGAACGAAAGGTGGGGCAGGGGTTGGGTTGCCTAACTTAATCTCAATTTACATTTAACCGTTCGCAATTATTAGGGCGGCCACAGTTGGAGGGGGGAGGAGGTGGTTACTCTGATTGTCGGTGTCTGCCGACTGCTGGCGGCGCTGCCAGAGTTGCCAGCATCATTCACCCGCAGCGATTTGTCATGCATCATTCATACGCTTGCCGTGTTAATTATGCTGAAATACGGTCTATTAAAGTTTCAGCAGCTACGGCTGGTGGCGTACTCAACCACTTATACTCCGCAAATCGCTGCAACCTGCCAAAGGGGCACTCTCACACCGCCCACAGCCCACCTGCTACCACTCGCCTGCCACCCTTCCCTACAGCAGCTAACGCTGCGGTAAAACGTAATTAATGAAGGCGCACTTAAATCATTTTTGTGCGTGGGCGGTTCCCACTAACACGAAACGCGACAAAAGCATCCGCAACACCAACAACAATATCAGAAGGGACTTAAAAAAGTACAATTAGTTAACTAACAAGTGGGAAAGGAACCAACAGACATAACATAAAAAAAATACACACAAGGACAAGTGCTCAAAATTGCAAATGTTTTATCTTCTTTGTCAAATGCCCTATAAATTATTATTTAAAATAAAAAATAGTTACGCACGTATCCCCAAAATTGCCCAAGAGACTTTTGGCTCCACATGATTAATTATCATAGATGATAAGAATATTCCTAAGTAGATATAATTTGATAAAATAATGCTCAATTATAATTTTATTATATTATCTTCACAAATCTTAAAATAAAAAAATAAAAATCAAATATAATTCTTAAAAAAAATATATATAATATGTATAAATATATTAATATAAAATAATTCGAAAATAATCCTAAAAAAAAGAATATAATATATAAGTATATTAGAATTCTAAACATATCCTTGAATAGAGTTTTTAAAAACATTTTAAATAAAATATAACACATATAAATATAAAGTATATAATGTATATAAATACAATATAACAAATTTATATTAATACAAGAGTTTTGATTTGCTTTGATTCCAAATCCCAGTGAAGAAAAAGCAAAAAAAAAATTCAAGACCAAGAGCCAGCTTAATCGAAAATCTTGTGCTCAAATAAAATACGGCCAGTGAAAAGAAGTAAAGATATAGTAGGATAGGTTAACCTGAGTACAATATGGATTAGTTAAACCGGAAATAGCCTAAGATAAGACTGAAAAGAAGTTGGCAAGCTCTCTGTCTGCATTATGAGCAGGGTACAAAAGGGAACAGACCCTGCAAGGGGCACCAGGCCGCGCGCTAAAACGTTTCAGTTTTTCATAAATATTCAAAAAGGTAGCGCACAGTGGCAGCGGCAACAACAATGTGACAACAACAGCTGCTGCAGGTCCTCCATCTGGTTGAAGCAGCTATTCACGACTTTGTGGAGCTGGTCCGCTAACAAGGCACAGGATTTCTTATTCGACGGGGACAGCTCAGCTCGGTTCTGTTCAGTTATTGCCTTCGTAGGTGTATTTGCTGCTAAAATATAATATATATATATATTCTTGTATAGTCATTGTATGTGTGTATGTGTGTGTGTCTGTGTGCGCGTATATAAAAAAGGAGCAAAACTTTTTCGATTTAAGCAATTTGTATATATTTAGCTATATACAAGCCGCCTGATATGCTAACAGTGTGTCTGCCGATACTAGAGCTGAGACCTGAAGAGCGCCCAAGAGCTGAGAGCTTCAAGAGCCGACAGTCCAGGCGAGTCCGTTCCAAATTTCCAAGGGACACCCAACAAAGAGCGCTCAAAATAAATGCAAATTTATATCGTGGAAAAGTTTTCAATTTGTTTTTACATTTTCTTTTCTTCTTTTTCATTCGTCGTCGTCGTCGTCGTCGCCGTGGTCGTCGTTGCTGGCAACACAACCTGCAATGTGCGCGTCCGGACACGCCCCCTTCCGACGCCAGATAGCGCCTCCCGCTAAGCATTTTGTATTTTGCCAGCACAATTTGGCCATTTTTGTGCCATAATTAACGTGCTGCCAGTGCCTGGGGCCGCCACAGTTACCATTCATAGACGCCGAGGTGGAGGGCGAGGTGGAGGCCACGGCTGCGGCCGAGGCTAAGTCTGTGCCAGAGACCCATGGAAACCCAAGGACACGTTCGTCCTATGCCTATGCCCAGCATAGACCATATTCTTGGTCAGAGCCGGAAATAAAGATGGCCGAAAGCACTGTGCAAAATATTTAAGGTCTAAGCGGGCACAATCGAAATTCACAAATGGACTGCCATCCATCATAAAATCAATAATGAAATCAAACAATTTTTTATATTTTAAGGTATATCAATCAATCGATTAATTAAATTTCTTAAGAATTTCCCAAAAATATCGCAAATCTCTCGAGAATGTGCACAAATATGGAATTGTTTACATAAATTGTTACTATTTATGTAATGCATTCGAAGCTCGATTCACGGTTGCCATATATTTAAATTTCATTTATTATAAATGAAATTTTTTTTCCTTTTATGAAAATCCCATTACTACAAGCCCAACTAAAATGTTTGCTGGTTCGGTTTGTGGTTCGTGAAACAAATTTTTTGTAGTTTCGCTTCATGATATGTGAAATATGGATTTTCCGGCTTTTACCAGTTCTTTTTAAAGCCAGCTTGCAGCCTGTTGGAAACATTTTCGTGCAGTGTATTTGTTGCTGTCACCCATTTTGGCCATTTTGGCAAAACAGCACTGAGAATGTTAAGGCTAACTGGCCAGGAGCCAGGAGCCAGAAGCCAGGAGCCAACCAAATGCCGCAATCAAGTTATTATTAAGTTTTTCTATTTATCCAACATAATTCATAATTTGTTTACAAAGCGTATAATAATATTAACGTCTTGTCTTGGCCATCGTCTCCAGCTTTAGCTACATCTCGGTCCAACGATTGCCGCTTTTGTTCGCAGTCCACCGCGCTGAATTTTGCTGTCAACCTGGCCAGATAATCAGTTAGAAAGTCGCTGAAGACGTGAACTACTGCCACATCTTCTTCTTATTCTTGTCGCTGACAGCGTCGTAATCCCATTAGAGAATGCGGGTCGGTGTCTGTCCCGTTAACTGGAAGTTGGAGCTTGCTGAACAGCCAGGCAGTTGGAGGCCGTTGTCTAAAATCGCATTAGCCAACCGAACGCATTTTCCATAGTGACAGCATTTAATACATATATATCGTATATTTATATTATCCAACTTGTTGTTGTTGTTTTTTTTTGTTTCATGATTTTGCATTTTTTGTTTATGTGACTCGACTTCCGGGCACAATGGTGCGTAGCGCGTTGCCAGCTAATTTTTTTTGTCTATTCGTTTCGTGAACTTCCTCTTCCACTTTACATTTGACACTTTTGGCCAAAGTGCACACGGTTGAGTAGTTTGCGCGGGTGATGCTGAATAAACGTTGAAATATAAAATAAATAAAAAATACATGAGAAATGCGTCGAGCCAAATGAGCAACAGCATCAGCATCAGCAACAGTCTCGCAGCCAGTTTATGCAAAAGGGAATTAAGTTAATTGAGAGTCGGCGACGGAGACGGCGGCCTGGGCAACGTGTACGGCCCGCAGTCGCAGCCGTGCTATAATTGCGCATAAAAATGAAGCGATTTATATGCGCGTATTTTTAATGTTTCATAATTGGGTAAGCTCATCTAGACTGGGTTCGCGCAGGTTGCTAGATAAGGGATAACGCGGGTGCGCGAAGGGTTACGGTTCACAGTTCACAGTTCACGGCTTACGTTTTACGTTTTACGGCTTAAGGTTTATACGTCTATGGCTCGCCGGATGTCTCTGCGGCTGTCTCTCCGCTCTGCTGTGCCGCTGGCTCCGCTTACATTTCCTTCTGAGTGCACAGCGAGATAAGTGGGAAAAGTCGCGCACAACAGCAACAAGCCTCATCTCAACTCATCTCATTTCAACTCAGCTCATAATTTTGCAATTATCACTTGCCTTGTACACAATTTCATCCAGTTGCTTGAGTACAATTTATAAGTCCTTAAACTTACGATAAACTGATCACATTCGCGTTTGTTTTTTAGAAATCATAAATTTCCAATTTTGCCAGAATAAATTGATGTTCTAAACAGCCGCGTATATATCGGTCGATTTACTTATATCCTTGAACATCCCTTATTAAATATGTATTATAAATCATAGCTAAAAATTCAGAGAAAATGGTTTATACATCGGTTCTGGGTGGGCAACAATGTCTTGCTTTAGAGTTCGGTTCGTAAATCTGACATTCAACATTAATCTTCCCAATTATAAATAAAACATGAAAACATTGATCCAAAATTATAAACGATAAAATCCTTTTTAGAATTGGTTTGTTTTAAGCCCAGCAGCAGGATATAATCTAGCAAATTCCTAGCGTAATCTCATTTGAGGTCAGGCAATATGCCACCTATTTTATGTGTTTTTTTTTTTATACCCTGAACCCATTAAAAATGGGTATAAGGGTATATTGTGTTTGTGCAAAATCCAAATGTATGAAACAGGCAGAAGGAAGCATCTCCGACCCCATAAAGTATATATATTCTTGATCAGCATCAAAAGCCGAGTCGATCTAGCCATGTCCGTCTGTCTTTCCGTCCTTCCGTCCGTCCGTCCGTATATATGAACGCAAGGATCTCAGAACCTATAAGAGCTAGAGACTTGAAATTTTAGATGTTGGTGCTTCTAGTGCCTGCGCAGATTTTCCGATAATCGATAACTTACTCCGTTCCCAAGCAATCGATAAAAATCGATATCGATATCCTGTTTTTTGGGCAATTTTGGTAAATAATAAGAGCTAGAGTCACCAAACTTGACATAAAGCTTCTAAAATAGAATATATATATGCATTTGATGTTGGAAGAAGAGGGTTCAGGGTATCCCCTAGTCGGGAGCTCCCGACTAGAACCTCTTACTTGTTTACTTATATACAAGTATACTTGAAACGATTCGAATTAAGGTTTGTTTGTTTTAATTCAACTAAGATATGGAACCAATTCCGGGAGCAGCATGCTCTCCCTGCTGAGCCTCCCACAAGATGCATGGAAATCGACTAAAATGCATTTATCTATAACAATTTACTGTTATATGTACATAAATATAAGCTTAAAATTATTAATTATATTAAATACATAATAAAACTCCGAAGCTTCGAA